GGGGAGGGAGGGAGGGAGGGAGGGAGGGAGGGAGGGAGGGAGGGAGGGAGGGAAGGAGGGAAAGAAAACCACATTAATTTCTAGTGCAAGCTGCTTTGAAACAGGATATGTCTCTACCTTTTTACTTCATTATGAGAGATGAAGATTAACTAATCATTTGTGCAGAAGCCACTGGTTGCCTAGGTCCCATAATCATGGCCTGGTTATATTCAGTACACACAAAGAAAAGACAGTTACAGCTAACATGTAGCTAATTGAGCAAGGATGAGAGAGTATAAAAAAAATGATCCAAAGGGCAAAAATGTGATATGCTTTACAAAATAAACCACTAAATAATTTTTCTGTAAGAAAAAGATAAAATGCCATCTGCAGTCATGATAATAAAATATGGTTAAAATCGCTTTGTGGCACATTGTCCAGGTAAAGGCAAGCATTAAACATTGAAAAGGAGTACATAAAAAGCAAGGAAAAGAGCAACTGATGATAATTAACACAGAAGAGAAATTACAGAGTATAGAAAATCACTTGGAAAAGTCAAAATCATTACTGAAAAATCCATGTCTGGAATGGATGGAACACACACAATTGTACAGTAAGTGCAGAATAACACATCTGTCTCTTAATGATGCTTGTGGACCTGTTGGTAGAGATGGGAACATTTTTAATTATTAGACAAAATGTGCTGCTAATCATATCTGTGTTGAGTAAACAGAAAGATAAATACTGCACATAGATGATGACCTACTCTTAGGTCTGATAGCAACTGAAAAGGCTTTGGGGCAGCACCTAGTGCCAATAAACATTAGACCCTTAGCTTCAGATGCCTTAGCATTAGAAATGTCTGGGTGAGGAGATTTATGTCACAGCGATGCTCAGTTTAATACACGTTTGAACGACAGGGAAATCATAGGGGTCTATTGCCAATGTTGTCTCAACATGAGAAAAGAACATGCCAAATGACAGCACTGCCTGACGGTGGTCTCTTGCAAAACAGTGGGAATTCTAACACAGAATTAAACTGGAAGATGAATAAGGAAAAGAATCATGATTCTACAACATCGTTCATTTAATACTTTGTAGGTTAGGCTAGGTATTTAGGTTTCACTACAGGTATTTAGGTTTCACTAGAGGGGGGACCCAAGTGTGGGCAGGCAGCTCTGCATGCTGATGTGTGCTTTGAAGGACATCACAGCAGTGAAGAAGTTGCCTGTGGCACTAACAGTTGGACACTTCCAGAGAGCACTGATCTCTTGCTCCCAAATAATGGGGACAAGTAGCTTAAACTATTGGTGCTTATTCTTTAAATCCTTGATCCCCCACACTGCACAACTGCATTCTTTTTAATTTTTTCAACCTCAGATACACGATCGCTTTCTGTCTTTCCATGACTTAATTACGTTCTGCTTCCCAAGCTTCCTAGAGGAGAAAGCTTCAGTGGGATTCACTCCCTGGATATAAATTCAGGGCTTTTAAAATCAGAAAAGGTCATTAAGTGATCCAGCTTGACCTTCCACATAATTGGACAGAAAACATAATCCAGTTTCTCCTCTGTTTATCCCAGTAGGTGATATCCTTACGAAACCTCCGTTCCAGAAGGTTTTCCATTTTGTTGAAACATCAGCCAAAAACTTCCCTTAAGAAGCAAATCAGCTCCAACCCTTACTGTTAAAAACCAACAAACCTGTGTTTTAAATAATTTTTTTTCTGGCTTTGTTGGATTTTTTTTTCTTTGTTTTGTTTTTCTCTTTTTGAGTCTCACCGCTACATTAAATTAGTGTAGAGCTAATTTTATAAATGGGGGCCTAAAAGCAAGACTGACTGCACAGGACAGGAAACCTTCCTGCAGAGATAATACACTTACAGGATTGTTTTAATCTCTTTGAAGGATTACTTGCATTAACTTGTTTAGGTTCCATTACATTTAGCAAGAAAACACACAACAGCATAAGGCTCTCCAGATGAAGTCTTTTGGGCTCTGACACGCAACAAGTGTTTGGTTGCCACTAATGGCAGTGGTGAAGCATGCACCTGTACCACAGCAGTGACATGAAGTGCTCCAGGCCTCATACAGATGCTGTAAGCACCCACTACAATGCAAAGTGCAGCTCAGCACAATTTTGACTGTTCCTGCTGCTTTTCCCCCCCAGTGGCAGAAGGTGCTCCTAATTGATCTTGTAGAAACCCAAGACTTTGTACAGAAATATATTATATTATATATCTCAAAGAAAAAAATCTGATAGTCAAAATAAGACTAGATTTGGGGAATTCTGTTTTCGACCTTACTTCCTTCTTCCTCAAAATTTGGTGAATATTCTTCCTTCCTAAAAAATGTTAATTTGAGACATGTTAGGCTTAACCATAGCTACAATAATGTGCTACTGCATTCGGACTAATACACAAATAGCTTCAAAATTGTTAGGGACAAAAGGCTAAGGAATAACGTTTTGAATGCACCATTTGATAATCTTCATTATCCCTCCCCTTCAGACAGTGCTCAAGAAATTTCAAGTTACTTTTGAACTTTTAAGAAATTATTATCTTCTCTGGCTTGTATTGAAAACATCAGCCTTTCTAATTTTATTTTATTTTTTTTTAAAGAAATTATCATGTAATATTAATGAATACCCTGGCCTGAGATCTTACTCAGTGTGATCCCTTTGTGTCACAAATCTCAGTAGATAGTTGAATGGTTATGTAGTTCAGAGAGTATAAAATCCTTCTCTTGATACATGCTGAGAAAATGCAGTAAAATGCCAGAAAAAGGATTTGAGTCCTGCTAACAACCTTGGTCTGTTTTACCAAGGGGCTGTGCAACTGTGTTATCATACCCAACACCTCTTTGTAGCTTAACAACACGTCATTGTGCCTTACTAGTACAACTGGACAGGCAGGGTTTTAGTGGCTGGCCCAACGTCTAATTTGAGACTTCCCCATCGCTGCAACCGTAGGCAGTCCTCCAAAAACACATTTCTGCTTCTTGTGGCTTAGTGTGGTTATGCAGTCTGCAGCCCTCCTTCCAAAAAAAAAAAAAAAAAGAAAAAAAAAGAAAATCCAAAAGAGAGAAGTCTGAAACAGCATGCATGCTTCCATTGCTTGCAGGGACAGGAGAAAGACTCCAGAGCCAAGCTCCTCCTGACCCTGGGCATCCCTACACCAGCAAG